AATGCTGATGATTCTGTTAAGATAAGCTCAACTTTCAACGCTTCTGCATCTGGTAAGTGAAATATTGACTTCAATGGGACAACTAGTATGAGTTTAGTGGGGCCCATTGCTTTTTCGGTTGGAGATAAAAGAGCCGCGGATTCCGCAGTTAGCTGTACTGCTGTGGCTATTGTTTTTAGGGACTACAAATGTCCATTGTTTTTAGGGACTTTTTTTCAGTCTTGTAGAAATAAATTATTAATAATTTTGTATTCGTTAATATTGTATTAAAATATGTCTATGCATATCTTTTTAATTTAATATAATTTTTATTAAATTTAATGATTAAAAAATATAATTATCAATAAGACAAATTATTAGATAAACTTTAATGCATAAAATAGAAACTACCTGCACTTTTCACTTGAGCCACATCAAATAAAACATGGCGTTTCATGTTAAACAAACTACTTTGACACGAAAAATAATATCATATGACTTATTTTGATTTATTAAAAGGGAGTCTTTTATTTTTCAGTCGTTAAATGTATATCATAATCTGTCTGTTATGCATATTTTTTTAATACAATGTGATTTTAATAAGATCTAACGGTAAAAATTGAGATTACTGGTTGGATGGACTGCCGGAGAAACTCCCTAATTAAAAAACCAAACTTGTAAAACTTGAGTTTGTGTTTAAATGTGCACATTTGAGTTAAAATTTGAATTAAGAATCTATTTGAGTTTGTGTTTAAGTGGGTTAAAACTTGAATTTGTATTTATATAGTATTTTAATTAAAAACTCAATGGTGATGAAAAATTTTAATAGGTTATATGGATGGGGTTTTATTCGTCTCTTCGTTGTGAACGCATAGAAAAAAATCATCTCAATCGGAATTAAAACGAAAAAGTTATGACGTTTTTAAAAATAGAAAAAATATTATTCATTAACTTAAGTTTGAGTTTAAGAACTTGACTTGAAGGGAAAACTTGAACTTAGATTTTAACTTTAAACTCAAGTTAAAACTCAAATTTAAACTCAAATTTTACAAACGAACATAAACTTAAATAAAATTATAACTTAAATTCAAACTTTTTTGAGTTTTACTCCAAAAGAACAAGGGCTTAGTATTTACAAAAGAATTTAAGATGCAAATTTTTCACAGCCTACACATAACTACATAATATGTTATAGCCTTTTCTTTTAAATTTGCGCTTTTGAACATTAAAAAAAAACTAAAAAAATTACACAATATGAATAATTATTGAGTATTTTTATACCATAAAAATGTAAATATCATTAAGATAATTATTACACAATTTTATTGTTCTCGAAATATTTTTTTTAAAAATACTATATTTCAACTCAAATCTTACAAATCTTGTAATATTGCCATGTAAATGTTTTTTTTTTTTTTTTTTGCCTGTTTCATGTAACAATTTCAAGGGAAAGGAAACCCGCATTACAGATACTTAGGGTGTGTTTGGTTGGATGAAAAGTAATGTAATAGAATGAAATGAAATTATAGTTTGATGTTTGGTTGGATCTATAAGAAAGAAATTATCATTCAAAAGGAATGACCATTCACCCATTTTGGGTGAATCATCATTCTTTTCTCATATAGGAGGAATGGTCATTCTAAGTTCGGAAAGGAAACCCGCATTACAGATACTTAGGGTGTGTTTGGTTGGATGAAAAGTAATGTAATAGAATGAAATGAAATTATAGTTTGATGTTTGGTTGGATCTATAAGAAAGAAATTATCATTCAAAAGGAATGACCATTCACCCATTTTGGGTGAATCATCATTCTTTTCTCATATAGGAGGAATGGTCATTCTAAGTTCTTTTTTTTTTTCTATAATTACCCTTCAATATCATAATATAATTAAACTATATTATATAGTAGTTATATCTTATAATATAATATAATATAATATATAATAAAAAAATTTATAATATAATATAGTTATAATAATATAATAATTAATTTATAATATAGTTATAAATTATAATATATTTATTTAATATTGAATGTTGTGGGGTAGAGGTTGCTTACAAATGGTCTCCATTTAATTTTATTACAGGTCACCGGCTATACTTATACTACTGCAAATTACAATTCTGAATAATAATTATTTCAGAAAAATACATTCTTTTTTCTTTCTTCAATGGATTTTGAGAATTTCATTTGTGAGGGGCTAAAGACCGGGTTATCTCTCTGAATCAGGTTATTCACTGGGCTGTTAAGCCATCGAGTCTTCTAGGGTTGATCGACCCATTTCAAGAGGATTCATCCAAGACTCTAGATCTCGTTAATTCTAAGGTTCTATAAGGAAGATGAGAGGAAGGCAGGCTGCATATATAGTATATATTATATTATATATCATAATTATATAATATATTATATAATAATAATTTTATTATAATATATATATTGATAGATAAAATATTAGTGTTATATATGTCAACATAAAAATATTGATGTTTCATTTCAAAAAATTCTTAAAATTATAATTAAATAAATAAATCACCTTTATTTTTTATTTCATTCTCGTTACCATTCTTATTCATATTTTTATTACTATTTTTTCACTGTAACCAAATCGTACCCTTAATCCCCATGTTGTAGTAAAGCCCAATTTCCCACCAGCCCAAATTCCGCCCAGCCCAATAAATTCACAGCCAAGACCCAGTACTGTTGGCGCGAATCTCACCCAGAACCTCAGAGAACAACTCCATCCTTATCTCAGCATACACCTCTCCGTCCCACTTCTTTGCCACCAGCTTCTCCGCCAGCCCAACCGCCGCCTCAACCGTCGCCTCCGCGCTAACGTGCTCCGAATCCACAATCCCCTTCTCTAACGCCTCCGTGGCCGTCAACTTCCCCGCCGCCAGCTGCAGGAGCCGCCGAGCCGCCGGCGCGCCAACCCTTTCACCTGATTATAGCCACAAACCAAGCCGGGATCCGCATCCCGATGTCGAGCTCGCTCATGTACAGAAACCCCCTGTCCTTCGTCATCAGAACGTAGTCGTAACACAAGGCCAGGCCTATCCCGGCGGTGGAGGCGTGGCCGGTGACGGCGGCGATCGTCGGCATCGGAAGCGAGAGTAGGTCGGCAATGAGCGATCGGAATTTCGAGCCCAATTGGTGGGTCCGGGCCTGTCGGTCGGGAGAGGATTGGAGCCATTGGAGGTCGAGGCCGTTAAAGAAGAACTTACCCTCCGCGGTGGTGATCAGGGCCGACGAGGTGGTGGACTCGGCCCGGACCCGGCCGAGAGCAGATTGGATCTCGTCGATTAGTGTGGGTTGAGCCTGTGCTCGCCCGGGCCCATTAGCGTCAGTATGAAGATGTTTCCTTGCTTCTCCAACGTGCACATGATCGATGTCTGATCTCAGTGAAAGTATAGACTGATTCTCTGATTAGTTTCTGGTAGATGGTGGATAGATGGTTTTGTTTCTGTCGCAGTGTGGTTGTCAAAGTCTGTGGTGTACATCAGTTTTGTTCCCCACTAGAGGACAAAAGCTCGTTTTGTGAGGAAGTTGGGGAATACCCTGCTAATATTTGACATTCTAATTCTGTGATCGGCGACGATGTGTTTTATGGTTGGATACTCGTTTGGTTTGTGAATTAAAATTATGTGATTAAAATTATTTTTAATTTATGTGTATTTTTTATGAGAGAAAATAATATAACGAATTACGAATCATAATTCGAATCAGCAAACGAATCCATATACTTGATTTTATCCTTTTTGTTCAAAGAAAGAAAAAAAAAAAAAGAGCAACTAAGGATTTTTTATTTTTTATCCCTCAAAACCCTTAATTGTAATCACAATTTTTTTATACTAAAAAAAATCACAAATTTTTTTTTTTCGGAAATGATAACTTTTTTTTATTAAAATGATAATGAGTATTTTGTATCTCCCAACAATCAAAACTTATACAAATTAATTTCACAAATATAACCGGAACAATAAAATTAACTTTTAAAACCAACATAATTTGACCCAAAAACAAACTAGTTAAAATAACAAAAATTTAATTTTAATACACAAACTACACAAAATCAAACTAATTTCTCAAAAAAAAGTCAACGCCAGTCTGGGACCAAAGCGAGTGTCAACAAAAACTGGTGATCAAGTTCAGAAGTAATCGGACTCCGAAAGGCACACGGGTAACAAATTGGTGTTCGTGAATAGAGTGAGCAAGGAGGGAGCCGAAACGAGGGTTAATAGTAAATTGGTTTTAGAAACCTCTACTTTTACCAAAAAGTATACCGACTTAAAAACTTTTGGAGGTATGATTTAAAACTAGTGCACCTCAAGTAATATGTGTTTTGTTAAAAAGCGTAACTAGATAAAATTTATATTGATAGTCTTATTCAAGTACATGGTTTACGTTTATAGGCTTCAAATCCCCTCTTATTTTGGTTTCAAACAGATGTAGGACTAGGCTCTCTTTTTGCTTTGCCAAAAGTCCAAATATCTCCACCTTGCAACATAAAAAGACTACCTTATCTCAAAAGATAAAGTTTCTAAAAAATCAGAGATAGTTTCCCATTTAAATTTTGAAACAAAATTTCCTCTCATTCCCTCTTGTAATTTTCAGCCACCACAGGAAAATATCCCTGTGATTGGCGCCACATTTAGATAAGAATGAGAAGATTTGGTACCACATTCAGATAAGAGAATGAGAAGATTTAACGCCACATTCAGAAAAAGCAAAGGAAAAGATTTCTCCTTGTAACGACCCTCTTACGGACCGTTACAGTTGTTCGTGAAATATTCATTAGAAACAAAATTTTAAAGAAAACACTTATAAAGAAGCTACACAATTAAATAACAAAACCTTAATTGTGAAACACAGAAAACTTTTTTTTTTTTTTTTGGGTCTAATAAAACTTGAAACTTTTCTTAATATAAATAACCATGAAACAATCTTAAAACTCTAAACACTGAAATTATTAACAAAACATAAAACCTCATTCTCATCATTCATAAACATAATAATTACAAATCCATGAAATTATAATTCTATTAAATATTAAAACTTTAGCGGAAATAAAATTTTGCGTGTGGTATCCCCATCTCCCACATTCTTGCCCGTCACATGCCCGTCTAGCTTCATCCACTTCATGCTATTCCTTTACCTTTATCTGCAACGTGAGACTTAAAAACATGAGCTAGAGCTCAATAAGCACAACATTTTCCTCACACGAAAATATTTAACATTTAACAAATCATGAATCACTCTCTTTTCTTTTGAAAATACTTTTACATTTATTATCTTGTTTGGGCCCGATGCAAATGTACATGCGCGCAACCTACGGCAAGAGTGAGATTGCAAATTCCACACTTACCGAGGCAATGTAAACATGAAATTGTCGTCTAGATCGACGGGTTGCCCTAAGACCATGAAACACGAAGTTGTACGTTGCCTCATCATTTAACGTGACAAAACATCTTCTTCACTTGTCTTGATTTTCGTCAGAGTATAACATGGATACTTATAACATGTAACATTGTGAATCCGATAAACATGTAAGCATGTAATAACATGTACTTGTAAACATGAAATAAAGCATTTATGCTTAAATAAACATAATATGAATTATAAAACATATTTGAAATCTTATAAATCACAAGTCAATTCATGAAAACTTAATCACATTGCAGGTGAGGTTGTACTTACTTGAATACAGCTTACTTAACCTTAATTTGTGTGGTGATGCGATCCTAGAGGCTCTGATATATGTGATTCTTGAATTGTTCATGCCATTTAACAAAACGTACGAATCTTAGTACTCAATTCATATCAACATAAATCTCTTATAACATCCTAACCCATACATGTGGGTGGCAAGTAACTCATGTTTATATCATAGTAATCATATCATTCATCACTAAATCATAGAACATAACAAATAGATTAAAAAGCCATATATTGCACAACTTTTAAAACTTGCCAACATGAATCTCCTGTACTAAAACGTTCAGCCCGATCTTTACAAAATTCATATCATCCTAAAACTAGCAGCATTGGGAAGTAGACTGAAATATCTTTCTAACGATACCAAATTTAACCAAATGGGAGTACGTTTTACTCTTCAAAACGCATTTACAAATCAATACACTGAATCAGATTTTTTTCCTCTTGAATGACCTAGCGCTGCGGCGCATTTACCTTTTCGCCCCACTAGCGCCGTGGCGCTCACCACTCTGCCACTGTGATTTCTTTTTGTCTTTCTAGTGCCGTGGCACCCACTTCTTAGCGCCGCGGCACTCATGTGATGCACAAAACATCTAAATATGTTTCGAAACGACATAGTATGCTCCAAAATCAATCCAAACCATCCCAAACATTTTTCTAACCCCCAAATATCACTCATGAAATTTATCAATAGAAATCAGTAAAGAACTCAAACCCTAAAATCAAATACCACCAATTAACAACAAAATTCTATTTTCACATGGTTCCAAATCTCAATTCCATTCAATAATCAATCAGTCATTGCAATACCATTAATCAATCAAAGAAAACAATTCCTAAACATGTTTCTAATTATAATGAATAGTTAGAACAATCTTTCGTGGGATAAACTCAAAACCCTAGAACTCATTAAGAAATTCAAGAACATCTAGAATCATGAATATCTCATGTTTCTTCGCATTCGAAGAATGAATCATGATAACATACATTTCAATCTTCCTCAATGATCAAATACCAAGGTCAAGGATTTGGAAGAAGATAGTAAGTATCGGTTGGAAGGATTTTCTTTTCTTTCTTTCTTGATGTGGGCGTGATGATGAAAACGAGAGAGAGAACGAGTGTGAATGAGAGAGGGGAGAGGTGAGAGAGGATAACGTGAGATGGAGAGAGAAAAAACAAGGTGAGAGAGAGAGAGAGAGGGAAAGAAAGAGGGAGAGAGAGTGAGG